TTTATTATTTTTATGTGTATGTGTGTATTGCCTGCATGTAGATAAGTGCACGAGTGTCGTGCAATGCCAGTGGAGGACAGAAGAGGTTGTCGGATCCCCTCTATCAGCGAATACTAGTTACCAAAAGTGCTGTAGGAGCACCAAGGATGGGCACTATATGCATGTTGTAAGGGCATGAAATATGAGGGCTTGGGGGGAGAGCCTAGAAGGAGTTCATACTGTGCTAAGGCCTTTTTTTTTTTTTTTTTTTTTTTTTTTGCAGTGCTGGGGACTGATTGAATTGTGAATCAAAGTTCTCAGAAAAAAACTTCAAACAACCTTCTGCAAGGCTGATTGATTAGAACTTCAGTGATTGTGGAGAGATTGAATGTTGCAGGGCCAGAGCCTGATTACTTTATCTTGGGCTATCTTTAGTCTCCTAAATAGCCATTCCTTGCCCACATCTGTGTGGGAGTAACAGTTAAAAACTTTGGGATGTATTAACAAAATCCTGGTTTCCATGGACTAAAAGGCTAAACAGCATCTGAGGCTTATAGTTGAAATCTCTCTCCACTTTTCTGTGACCACCTACTTAATGTTTCCACCAGTTAATTTATGACTTTATTCTGTTACTATAAAAACTTCATGAAACACAGGATTTGGGATAACCTAAATCTATTCCCAGGCAATGGTCACTCATATTTGGCCCCAGGCTAAACTATCTCTTATCCCTTTTTGAGGCGATAGTTGAATTTTTTTCTGTCAACAGAATCTAGAGTCTAGAGGTGTTTCAGGCACACACTTGACATATGTCCAGCCCCAAAAGGAGAAAACATGATTTTTCTTTTTGTTGTTTTTTGAGACTGGGTCTGGCTGTGTAGCCCAGGCTGACCATGAACTTGCCTCAGTAATTCTGCTTCTCCAGTGGCTGATTTTGTAGACTTTGGCTGCCAGGTTAGTTTTTAGCGCAATCTTAAATCTTTGACGTCACAATTTTGATCCCGTGGGCTACAGGTTAAGGTTTCAGGATCTTTCCACTTATGGATCCAGTGACATTTTTGATCCCTTACTCATTTTCACTCTAGCCAAGCTTTATCCAATGAGCAGGATTGTTTAAGCCTTTCTAATTTGATAAATTATTCCATTCCCCCCCCCCAATCCTATCCATCTCTTATCCATTCAGCTAAATAAAATTTCTCTCTATTACCTCATTCGGTGAACATAGTTTTCTAAAGCATCTTAAAAAAGACTATGATCCCAGCACTTCTAATACTGGGGGTGCTGAGGCAGAAGGATCTTGAGTGAGGCCTGGGCTATATTTAACAAGACCCTGAGAGAGGAAGGGGAGGGGAGGGAGAGAGAGGGAGAAGGAAGAGAAGGAGAAGAATTGAAGGGTTTTCCCTTACTGTGGTTGTTAGAACATTTGAGAGCCACTAGATGAAAGCATAGATATTCTGGGATTTTAGAAGTTAACTTGGCTGGGACTGTAGCTCAGGTGGTTGAGTACTTTCCTGACATGCACAAAGCTCTGGCATTAAACATGCATGATGGCACACGAGTGTCATCCCAGTACTAGGGAGGAGGAGGCAGGATAACCAGAAGTTTGAGGTTGTCCTCAACTACATTGTAAGTTGGAGATCAGCTTCAAAATAAAACTGGCCAGTAAATGCCTTTAGAAGATTTCCGAAGCATCAGAAGCAGGGAGTATGAAACAGCTATTGGTTCTGAATGGGTGCTGAACAGTGCTTTCAAACTGCATTATTACTGAAATCCATTGTGTGGGGCTCCTTGATCCTACTTCCTTCCCTTTCCTCATAAAAGTAACTACTATCTTTATTCTCTGCTCTTTAGTGACATCCCTGAAGAACACTGCATTGTTCTTGAAATTGTTTCATTTTACATGATTGTGAATTTCATATAAATGGAATCATATTGTATGCATTCTGATTTGCTTTTATTTATTTTTTTTATTTTTTTATTTTTTGAGACAGGGTCTCCCTGTATAGCCCCAGCTGGCCTGGAACTCACTCTGTATGTAGACCAGGCTGGCCTTGAACTCACAGAGACCCGACTGCCTCTGCTGGGACTTAAAGCGTGCGCCACCACGCCTGGCTTGCTTTTATTTTTCTCCCAACATTTATATTCTTGGGATTATCCATGTTTATGTATGGCTGTGTCTTATTGTTTAGATAAGATTTTTCCTAGATTGCTTTTCCTTTCTCTGTTTAAAATGCCGAGGCATCATGTCTATTCCTCTTGCTCTCTTCCTGTTAGCCCTTTCTGTGGCTTTTCCTTCACACTTTACCTGCGGGCTGTACCCAAGTGAACCTGTGAGGCACTTTTGACCCTGTTGGAATCTCTGAAGAGTGTCAAAGTTTCCAGGCAGCATTATATTACACATTTATTATGAAATTTTTTGGTGTGGGGGGTGGGGTGGGGCGGAGTAGGGTTCTTGTTTTGAGACAAGGTCTCAGAGTAGCCCAAGCTGGCATTGAACTCTAGGTCCTCCTGCCTTGGTGTCTTGAGTGTTGCGATTATAGGCACATGCTACCACACCTGGCTCTTACTATAGTTTTTGATGGTATATGCTGTGTATATAATTAAATCAATCTTGCTGGAAATATTAAATATTAAAATATTGATTAATAAATTGTTAAAATAATTTTGACATTTTGTCTGTTTCTTGATTTTTTTTTTCCCCCTCCTTTCATTTTCTTGTCCCCTGTCATAATTGAATAGATTTCTGACATCCAAATCTGTCTGAAAGAAGCTGTCAAAGGCTACGTTTCTCTCCAATTGTTGAGGAGCTAGTTGACACCATGAAGGTCTTCTGTAGCCGGGCCAATCCAACCACCGGATCTGTGGAGTGGCTAGAAGAAGATGAACATTATGATTACCATCAGGAGATTGCCAGGTAACAAGGGTTGCTTTACAGTCAGTTGTAGGGGTAAGGTGCAGTGTTACTTTGTTTTGGAAGATTTTGGGATCTGTTTGTCCTTTGTCTTTTTGAGACAGGGTCTTCCTGTAGCCCCAGCTGTCCTGGAACTCACTGTGTAGACAAGGCTGGCCTTGCACTCACAGAGATCCGCCTGCCTCTGCTTCCCGAGTGCTGGGACTAAAGGCATGCAACACCATGTTATTTTCTGAGCAGTTGAGATGTTAAGTGGGTGAATGGGATCAGGGTGCATTTCAGAACACTTAGAACAGTGTGAGAAGTGGGTTGGAGAGAAGAGAGGGTGGTTACTGTAATCCCAAAGTAGACAGTGGAAGTGAAGAGAGATGAAAACAGTGTTTAGGGAGTCAGTTTGCTAGCTTACTAGATGCAATGAGGAGGAAAAAAAAATTGAGGAAGTACCAAAATTTCTTTTGGATGGAGATGCCATTCCCTGAGAGGGGTGATCCCTGGAGGAATGGGCAGTGTTGGGGAAGGAAAGGTGATGGAGATGACCTCTTAAGGTTTGGCTATCCAGATAGTGATACCAGTGGGAGACAGAATCAGGGGTCTTGAGACTTTGCAGTACTTAGAAGAGTTGAAAGTGGGAGAAGTTGCAGCATCTCAAAGAGGGTATGGGATGTGAAAAGCAGAGGACTGAGGGAGTCCTTCAATAGCTGAGAACTAGGAAGGAGAACTAGGAAGAAAGGTTAAGATGAAAAGAAGGAGTTTAAGAAAAGGAAGCATCTGTCAGGGTCAGGCTGCTGAGAAGTCCTGAGTACTGATGACAAGCATTAGTAACAGGAGTGAGCTGGTGGTGGAGGAAAGTGGTATCAATAGAGTGGTGGGGAGTTGAGTGGCTAATATGCCAGGAAGCTGGTAAGTGGACATGTCTCTTAAAAAGTGAGTAGGAAGCCATGTGGTGGCTCAGGACTTTAATCTCAGCTCCTAGGAGGTAAGTCAGGCAAATGTCTGAGAGATTGAGGCCATCCTGGTTTACATAGTAAGTTCCAGGCCAGCTGGGGCCACAGGGAGACCTTGTCTCAAAAAAAGAAACAGAAAAACCAAAGAAAAGTGAGGAGGAGGGGCTGGAGAGATGGTTCAGCAGTTAAGGGCACTGACTGCTCTTGCAGAGGACCCAAGGTCAGTTCCCAGCACCTGCATGGCAGCTAACAACTGTCTGTAACTCCAATTCCAGAGAATCTGACGCCCTCTTCTGACTTCCTCGGCTTTGCATGACAAGGGTGCACCTACCTACATGCAGGCAATACACTGATACACATTAAAAAATATATATTAGCCAGGCATGGTGGTGTACGCCTTTAGTCCCAGCACTTGGGAGGCTAAGGCAGGTGGATCTCTGAGAGTTCAAGGCCAGCCTGGTCTATATATAGTAAGTTCCAGGCCAGCTGGGGCTATAGGGAGCTGTCTCAAAAAGACCCCCCCCCCCAAAAAAAAGGAGGAGGCTAGAGTGATGACTCAGTGGTTAAGAGCATGTACTGCTCTTGCAGAGTACCCAAGATCAGCTCCCAGCACACACAACAGGCAGCTCACAACTGCTTACCCAGCTCCAGGGGTTCTGAGGTCCTCTTCTGGACTCCATAGTCACCTGTTCTTCATGTACATAATTAAAAATAAAATCTTTATCAAAGAAATAAGTGGGGAGGGACATCTGAGGAAATAGCTCAATTGATAAAGGGATTACAGAAAAGGACGTGAGTTCAGCCTCCAGAACCCACATTTAAAACAAACAAAAAAAACTGGGTATGTGGTGGTGCCTGCTTATAATCTTAGCACTGGGGACTTGGAGACCAGAAGATCCCTGGAGCTCACTGGCCAGCCTGTCTAGCCTAATTGTTGAGCTCTAAGGCCCGTGAGAGACCCTGTCTTGACTTGGGTAGTGTTCATGAGATTGATTCTGGAGGTTTTCCTCCATTGTCAATAAGCTTGTACCAACATATGCACGTGCATCCACGCATACAGAGTAGGGACCACATTTTCAGCAATGCTTAAATCTGTTTTTCTGGATTGCAATCCTAGCTAGCACCAAATAAATGTATTTCTTTTTATTCTTGGATTGTTTTTATTCTCAGTCAGCAGAGCAAAAGATTGAAAATCACAGAGATCCATCAACAGTGTTGGGCAAACCTATGGTGTATCTACACAATGGAGTTTAGTGCAACTGTAAAAGATTGATGAGTAGCATTCAGGGAGGCAGAGGCAGGCCTGGTCTGCATAGCGACTTCCAGACCAGCTGGGGCTACATAGTGAGACCCTGTCTCAAAAGAGAGAAAGAAAAAAAGTGAAAAAAATCTTAATTTTCATTTCATTCTCTACTGGTAGAGTGACCTCCACAATATATTATATGTATTACATGGAAAAAGCAAGTGTAGAATTATATTGCTTTTCTATAAGAAATAAAGTGAAACATATTTTTGTACAAAGAAACACTAGGAGTAGACTGGAAACTGGTAAAAATGGTTACCTTTTGTCCTGATTACGCTTTTATTGCTGTGATAAAACACTGATCAAAGGCCGGGTGTGGTGTAAGCCTTTAGTCCCAGCACTCGGGAGGTAGAGATAGGTGGATCTCTGTTGAGTTCAAGGCCAGCCTGGTCTGTATATAGTGAGTTCCAGGCCAGCTGGAGCTACAAGGAGACCCTGTCTCAAAAAGAACAGCAACAATAAAAACACTGACCAAAAACAACTTGAGGGTTTATTTGGCCTTACATGTCCTGATCACAGTCCATCTTTGAGGGAACTCGGGTAGAACTCAGGGCAGAAACATGGAGACAAAAGCTGAAGCAGAGACTGGAAAAACACTGCTTACTGACTTGTTCCACTAGCCCATGCCTAACCTGCTTTCTTATATAAATGGGGACCACCTGTCCAGGGGTGGCACCACCCACAGTGAGCTGGGCCCTTCCATATTACTCTACAATCAAGCAAATGCCTCACAAACATGGACACAGGCCAGTCCAATAGAGGCAGTTCTGCAGCTGAGGATTCCTCTTCCTAGGTCTGTCAACTGAAGCTATCCAGTACATCTCTGGACAATGCGAATAGGAGTAGGTGGGTGTCCTGTTTTCATTCCTGTTGCTGTGATAAAATACCATGATCAAGTAGAGTTTATTTTAGCTCACAATTCCAGGTTGTTATAGTTCATCAAAGCAGGAAATTTATTGTGTCAGGAGCTAAAGCACCTGATCACATGACACCCATGGTCAAGAGCAAGAAATAATAAACACATCCTTCCTTGCTTGCTGCTTATGCTCAGCTCTCTTCATGGCTCAGGGCCCAGCTCATCAAATAGTGCCGCTCACATTCAGGTGGGTCTTCCTACTTCATTTAACAAGACAGCCCTCCACTGATATGCCCACAGGCCAATGTGATGTAGATAATTACTCATTAAGACTTCCCAGATGATTCTCGGTTGTGTCAAATTGACAGTTAAAACTAACCAGTACAGTACTGGAGAGATGGTTCAGCATACTGCTCTTCCGGAGGATTGATTCCCAGCTGCCATGTCAGGTGCCTCAGAACCCCTGGTAACTCCAGCTCCAGGGAATCCAACACCTTTGGCCTCTGTGGATACCTGCACATGTGCACATCCCCCTTCCCGCCCCAGACACACACAGAGACACAATTTTTTAAAAATAATCTTTAAAGGCCAGGTGTGGTGGTGCACGCTTTTAATCCTAGCACTCAGGAGGCAGAGGCAGGCAGATTGCTGAATTCAAGACCAGCCTTGTCTACATAGTCCCAGGACAGCTGGGGCTACAGAGAGACCCTGTCTCAAAAAGACCAAAAAAAAAAAAAAATCTTTAAAGAAAACTAAGCGGTGCAGTAGGCAGATAGAGGCTAAAGTGAGACTTTGAAGATTGTACCTCTACTCCCTACCCCAGCCCTCACCTCTGCTTAACACATGAGCGGCAACCCCAGGCCCCCAAGGATAACTCTTAATATAGTTTGATTCTTGAGCTGTATATTTATATTTAAAGTTAACCTGAAGAAGTTTACACACAACAAACATTAAGTCTGGGGGGAAAGTAAACAAACAAAAGGACCATAGGCGAATTAAAATGAAAAATACTCTTTCAATATAGTGTTCATCAAAGTGTAGAGTGTACACAGCTGAAGTTTAAATTGCCTACAGTAGCATTGGTTCAAGTGGAATTTACAGACTTCAACCTGACCTGATTCAGAGCGTGTCTGTGTCAGGAGAATATGCATTTCAGGGAAACTCCCAGTTCTGGTACTAGCCAAAAGCTGGAGGCCTGTTTTAGTGAGAGTGCCTTAGATCTCCGCTGAACTTCCAGAAAGCTTGTTTGACCTGTGGCTGCTTAGTATCTTGACTTCACCAGTTTTCAGATATATGTTTTTTTTTGGTGCCGAGTATGAAATTGAGGCCTTCATGCATGCTAGATGCTAGGCAAGCATTCTGCCACTGATCTTCATTCCTGCCTGGATTTTAGAATATTTAGTTGCTGTGGTAGAAAATACAGCACTGTATTTAGTGATGTGATATGAAGGTGTGGGCATGATGATCCTCTCACATACAGCAGCTGTATACTTTTCCCAGTTCATCTCCCTGTGTAGGGATGACTTACATGTGGACAGACTCTGGACTAATGGCTTTTATTTAACCTTGTGTTTGTAATACAAACAAGCTCACTGAGCCATGTGCTCTTGAGACCTGGGCACCTGACCTTGATCCTTCTGGACCCCACTTTCCCCTCCACCCAAGACAGTCATTAAATGTGGTTGTGCATATCAGAATGCTGGAAGCAGCATATTCATATTTTTCATGTTCATTCATATGCTGCCCTCATTGAAGACAGAATAACTGAGTATGCTTGACACTGTGTATGAGATATTTTAGGCCTCAGGATCAAAGGGCAAGATTCTCTGATAAGAGTGGATCCACGCTTGTGGCTCCCCAGTTGATGCTGGAGATACTGTTTGAAGCTGAGTGAAGCCCAGCTAAGGAGCACAGTTCCATGAGAATTCTGAAGGAGTAAACTCCTGGGGTTTGGACCCGCTCTTTTTTTGGTCTTTTTGAGCCAGGGTCTCCCTGTAGCCCCAGCTGGCCTAGAACTCACTAGACCAGGCTTGGCCTGGTCTCACAGAGATCTGCCTCCTCTGCTGGGATTAAAGGCATGTGCCACCATGCCTGAATGGATCCACTCTTGACTACTGAAACTTAATGCAAAGAATCAGGCTGTTATTTATTCAGGTACAACCTTACGTAATGTGGCTTTAGTAATGCCACATCCCTAGTATGGAATCCATGGGATCACTCCAAGGTGTACATGTATTATGCAAAGTTAGATCAAGTTTAGGGGTATTGAGTGTGAGTTTTTCCTGAGGAGGAAAGTATATAATGTGATCAGGTTGTTAATAGTTGTGAATTTCTATTACAGACTAACTATGCCAGGCTGGTGAGAAGGTTCAGGAGGTTAAGGCACTTGCTGCCAAGCCTGACAATCTGAGTTCTATCCCCAGAACCCATGTAAAGGTGAAAGGAGTCAATTCCTGTGAGTTGTCCTCTGACCACATGTGTGCTGAGGCATGTGCACCCACATGTACACATATACATAACAAATATATATTTGAAAATCACTTATAACTGGGTATGGTGACCTACTCGGAAGGCAGAGGCAGGCATATCACTCTTTGAGGCCAGCTTGATCTACCTAATGAGTTGCAGGCCAGCTAGAGCTACATAGTGAAACTCAAAAAAAAAAAAAATTACTTCTACAGGTCAACTACCAACAAGCCTGATGACCGGGGATCCATGTGGTGAAAGTTGAGCACCAACTCCTACATTTGTTCTATGACCTCCACACATGTACCATAGTGCACACACCCTCCCTCCCCAAATAAATGTAATTAGAAAGTTTTTTTTTGTTTTGTTTTGTTGGAGACAGTGTTTTGCTGTATAGCCCAAGCTGGCCTTAGACTCATGTCTTCTTTCCTCAGCCTCCCAAGTTTTTGGTATTACAGGCTGGGGCCACCATACCGGGCTATTAAAATAATTTAAAAAGGATGACACACTTGTTCCATTTACTTGAGTACTGCATTTATATATGTGAACTCTTTGAAGTGTTGATGTATGTCATTATTAGCAAAGGTTTCTGACCTGACTTTTTTTTTTTTTTTTAGGTCATCCTATGCTGATATGCTACATGATAAGGACAGAGTAAGTATAAAGGAAACCGTAATCTTTTTTCGGTCTCTTTGAGACAGGGTCTTCCTGTAGCCCCAGCTGGCCTGGAACTCACTGTGTAGACCAGGCTGGCTTTGAACTCAGAGCTCCACCTGCCTCTGCCTCCTGAGTGCTAGGACTAAAGGTGTGTGCCACCACACCTGGCTATACCATAATCTTTTTAAAAAAATGACTTATTTTTATTTGTACAAGTACTTTGCTTGCCTGTATGGTATATGTGCAGTGCCTGTGGAGGCCAGAAGAGGGCGACAGAGTCACCATGTGGCTTCTAGAAATCAAACCTAGGCCCTCTGGAAGAATAGCAAGTACTCTTAACTCCTGAACTACTTCTCTAGCTTGGAAACCATAATCTTCATGTGCTAATTTGGAATCATGGATTACATGGAAGTCTGAAACTCCCCCAGGAATCAGGTTGTTCATTGATAATGAGCTGTATGGTGTAATGGTCAGAAACTCAGTTGGAATGCTGGGCCCTGCCTCTGGCTGTGTTCCACAACCACCCACAGCTTTATTAAAATACAGTTAGCAAGGGCTGGGCAGGTGGCTCAGTTTAAAGTGCTTGCTATGCAAGCATGAGGACCTGAGTTCTGATTCCCAGCACTCAAGTAAAAGCCAGGCATGTCAGTATGTGTCTGAAGCTTCAGCACTGGGGTGGCAGAGACAAGCAGATTGTAGGGGCTTGCTGGCCAGCCAGTCTAGACGAACCAGTGCACCTAAGATTCATTGAGAGACCCTGTCTTACATACCGTAAAGAATGATGAAGATTCTGGCTTTGGCCTCTGCATATGCCCACATGAGAGGACACAACCCTCACACGTGCACATTAATATATCACACACACAAGATGGGATTGACAAATAAAAGTTGTGTATATTCATTGGTACAGTGTGATTTATTTATTTTTTGGTGAGGCAAGGTCTTCCTGTAGCCCCAGCTGGCCTGTAACTCACTATAGAAACCAGGCTGGCCTCAGTCTCACAGAGACCTGGCTGTCTCCCTACTTTTTATTAAACACCTGAGTGTCTTTACTGAGCTATCTGGGAAAAAGCAGTTCTGGTTTTTGACTAGTTCTGTAGCATAATGGGCTTGGCTTATTATTGGACTCTCATGATTATGAGCTATTCTGATTTTAATGTGACCTGCATAGGGTAACCTTGCCGTACCTTCCGGGTCAATTGGCAACAGGGCATTCCATCCAATCAGCAAAGCCAGAAGGAAAATCCTCTCTTCCAGTGAACCTGCAATCCGTCATCAAATTCTACTGCTCTTCCAACCCCAAGTCACTGCTAAGCCTCACTTACCTATGTTGGACTCCTTGTTTCCTTCCTGTGTGGCAGCCCAAGGGTCGGTCTGACTATGTAACTTTTCTCCAGAGGAACAAGGGATGTAACTTAGTGGTAGAGTGCTTGCTCAGCATGTGGGAGCCCTGGGTTAGCTCTTCAGCTCCTCAAAAGGCCAAATATAGAGTATTGATGACTCTGTTATTTAAGACTTAAGCTTCTCTCTTTTTCAGGTCTGTAGCTGAAGAAAAGCAGTCAACTTGATGAATAGCAGGGCAAAGAACATTTCTCTTTTGCATAGAGCTGTGTGTGTGGACTGTTTTGTGTCTAGGTATGTGTGTGTGCACATGTGTGTGGCGAGGCACTAGGTTGATGCTGGGTATATTCCTCTATTGTAAATTTCTCTATAGCTTCCTCAATTTTGAGGGCCTTTCACTGAATTGGGTACTTATCGATTGGCTAGACTGTCTGACCAGTGAGCTCCAGGGATCCACCGATCTCCACAGCCACCCCCAACTCCCATGGGTTCCAAGCATACACTACCATTCCTGGCTGTTTTTGAGAGAGGGTCTCCCTGTAGCCTTAGCTGGCCTAGAACTCCTACATCTTGGCATGATAAGAGTAAGAGGTAGGAATTGGCTAGGCGGTTGCATAGCTGCCATGTGGGTGCTGGGAATTGAACCCAGGTCCTCTGCAAGAGCAGTCAGTGCTCTTAACCATCTCTCCAGCCCCCTGAGTTTTCTTTCTTTAATGTGGATTCAGGGGATTGAACTCAGGTAAGCAGTCACTTTACTGTCTGATCTACCCTCCAGCCCATGAAACGGTCTTTAAAAAGCTAATAAGGAGGAAAAGTGTTTTTTGCTTGTTTTTTTTTATTTGTTTTTATTAAATTTTGTTGTATTTTGTACAGACTATCTCTGTACAAAATTGATTTGAGACCCTGTCTCAAAAAGACCAAAAAAAAAAAAAAAAAAAAAAAAAAAAGGGAAGGTGAGTTTAAAAAGAAAAAAAAAAATAAAAAAAAAAAAAAAAATTTTTTTAAAAAAAAAAAAAAAAAAAAAAACAAAAACAACAAAAAAAAAAACTCCTACATCTCACAAATACCTGCCAGCTCTGCCTCCCGAGTGCTGGGATTAAAGGCATGCAACCACCATGCCTGGCTTCTATGCCAGGCTTTTTATATGGGTGTTGGGAATCAAACTCATGTCCTCAAGCTTGTGTGGCAGGCACTTTACCTACTGAGCTATCTCCCCAGCCCCTAAACCTTTTTTAAAAAATTTAGTATTTTTATTTTATGTGTATAAGTGTACTGCCTGCATGTATGTGAGTGCACCTGTATCATGCAATGCCTGTGGAGGTCAGAGGAAGGTGTTGGATCCCCTGGAACTGGAGTTATTGATGGTTGTTAGTCACCATGTAGGTGCTGGGATTCAAGCCTTGGTCCTCTGTAAGAGCAGTCAGTGCTCTTAACTGCTGAGCCATCTCTCCAGCGCCCCCCCCCAGCCTTTTTTAAAAAAAGATTTTATTTTTATTTTAAATTATATGTGTAGCCAGGCGCGGTGGCGCACGCCTCTAGTCCCAACACTTGGGAGGCAGAGGCAGGTGGATCTCTGTGAATTCAAGGCCAGCCTGGTCTACGTAGTGAGTTCCAGGCCAGCTGGGGCTGCAGGGAGACCCTGTCTCAAAAAGACCAAAAAAAGAAAAAAAAAAAATTGGATGTGTATGTATGTGTACCTGTGTGTAGGTATGTACACGTGAGTGCAGAGCCCATGATGACCAGAAGAGAGCGCCAGATCCCTTAGAGCTAGAGTTTAACAGGCAATTGTGAACCACCTCAATATGGGTGCTGGGACTCTGACTCAGGTTCTCCACAAGAGTAGTATATGCTTTAAACTCATGAGTCATCTATCCAGTCCCAAGCCTTGCATTTGTTTTGTTTTTTGAGACAGGGTCTCCCTGTAGCCCCAGCTGTCCTAGAACTCACTATGTAGACCAGGCTGGCCTTGAACTCACAGACATCCGCCTGCCTCTGCTTCCTGAGTGCAGGGGTTAAAGGTGTGTGCCATCATGCCTGGCAATTTTATTATTTTTAAATTTTTCTTTTTTTGGTCTTTTTGACACAGGGTCTCCCCTGTAGCCCCAGCTGACTTGGAACTCACTATGTAGACTAGGCTGGCCTTGAACTCATAGAGATCTGCCTGCCTCTGCTGCTTCCTCAAGTACTGGGATTACAGGTGTGAGCTACCTTGCCCGGCTATTTTAAGAATTTTTATGCGTGTGAGTGTATTGCCTGTATGGATATCAATGCATCTGTGTTGTACGCTGCCTGAGGAGGTCAAAAGAGAGAGTCAGATGCCCCCAGCACTGAAGTTACATATGGACATGGGTTGTTAGCTGCCATGTGGATGCTGGGAATCAGATCTGGGTCCTCTGTAAGAGTAGCCAGTGCTCTCTTAGCCCCTTGCATTTTGTTGTTTTAGGATACTTAGCTTATAAAATGCCTCATCCCTTCTCTAGGGCCAGCTCAGTTGATAAGAGTCCTTGCCTAATATACATGAAGCACAGCAGTCTGTGCTGTGGCACCTTATAAATCAGCTGTGGTGGTACCTGCTGAGAGGAACCTGCCTACAGGAAGGAACACTTTCTCCTTGTTCCTACCTGCCAATCACCCTCTTGTGTCTCTATTGGCTCACTATACTTAACAGCTGGAAAGAGGACAATCATTTGTAGAACTCTGGCCCTCTATCTCTAAACAGAAATCAGAAGTGTGGAAAAGAGGAACTTGATTAATACAGGGCAAGAGGCTGACCCCTGTCATCTTGGAGTCTTGCAGTACCTGTCTAGCTTAGCTGGCAAGTGCTGTTCACTAGGGATTGAGAAGAACATAGGGTTCTGACCTAAACTGGTGCTGCCAACCATGATTCCAGGTCTATAAATCACTTTTCCACTTGTTTATGGTATGTGATATGATAGCTATTTTTCTTTTTCTCTTAGAATATAAAATATTACCAGGGTATCCGGGCTGCTGTGAGCAGAGTGAAAGACAGGGGCCATAAGGCCTTGGTTCTTGACATTGGCACTGGCACAGGACTCTTGTCAATGATGGCATTGACTGCAGGTGCTGACTTCTGCTATGCTATTGAGGTAAGCTATACTGTTTGTCTTATGCCGTGTGTGTGAAGGCCCTGCAGTATTGAATTTTCCCTGTCCCTTGACAAACATTGGAGTGATTGCTCCATGCCAAGCACACAACCAAGCTCTCTGTACATAGAGATGAACCAGACAGAATTTCTTTCCCCAGGAGCTTGTTTTCTGCTCTGAAACAGTGGCTCTCAGATTTGGCTCTGTGTCAGATTCACTGAGGAGCTTTAAAAAATAGTGATGCCTCTGCTGTGCTCTGAGATTTCAATTAAAATTTTTGCTGGGGATGTAGCTCAGATGGTAGAGTCTCAACCCAGGGTGTAGGAGGACCTGGGTTCTGTCCCCAGCACCATATAAACTTGGGTGATGGCACATAGGCTGGCACTCCAGAGGTAGAAATGGGGATTAGGGGTTCAAGGTCATCCTGGACTTCAGACAGGTCCTGCATAACCTCAGCTACCAGAGACAAACAACAAAAACAGTATCAATTTTTTGACTTTTGGCTTTTTTTGGGGGTATCCTATAGCCCCAGCTGGCCTGGAACTAGATATGTAGACCTGGCTGGCCTCGATAATGAGATCCACCTGTCTCTGCCTTCCAAGTGTAGGGAATAAGAGTGTGCACCACTATGCCCAACTCCAACTTAATTAATTAATCAATTTTTTTATGTTTGGTCTTTTTGAGACAGGTCTCCTATAGCCACAGCTGGCCTGGAACTCACTCTGTAGACCAGGCTGGCCTTGAACTCACAGAGATCTGCCTCCCAAGTGCTGGGATTAAAGACATGCACCATCACGTCCAGCCCGATTTAGTTTTTTAAAAACATTTGGTTTGTTGGTTTTTTGAGATAGGGTCTCCTTGTAGCTCTAGCTAGCCTGGAACTGACTATGTAGACCAGGTAGGCTAATCCCCCTACCTCTGCCTCCTGAGTGTGCCACCATACTTGGACTGCAAGTTTTTGAAGACTTTTTATTTTTATGTGTATGAGTGTTTTGCCTGCTTGTATGCAAAGTGCACCTGTGTCGTGCAATGCCCAAGGAGGCAAGAAGAGGGCGTTGGATCCCCTGGAACTGGAGTTAACAGATGGTCGGTTGTTAACTACCACGTGGGTGCTGGGAATCGATCCAGTGCTCTTAACCACTGAGTCATCGCTCCAGGTGCGTGCACGCGCGCGCGCGCGCGCGCACACACACACACACACACACACACACACAGAATTTACTTTTTTTTTTTTTTGGTCTTTTTTGAGACAGGGTCTCCCTTTAGCCCCAGCCAGCTGGCCTGGAACTCAGAGATCCTCCTGCCTCTGCCTCCTGAGTACTAGGATTAAAGGCATGCACCACCATGCCCAGTGACATTGGGATTTTTGAATGAGCAACAAGACTAAATGTTCCTATAGAACCAGCTATTTTGTTACATTCAGCAATTCACCATTCTGCCATTTTCTTCCTTCCTTTCATTTCTTCTCAAGACAAGGTCTCACTATGTAGTTCTGGCTGCCCTGGAGCTTACTGTGTAGACCAGGCTGACCTGGAACTTACAGAAATCCTGTACACCACTACGCTCAGTTCTTAAATTTCTTTATTACATATTTATATATTTTGTGTGTGTATAGGTGCATGTGTGGCGGTCAGAGGAATGTGTTCTGTCCTTCTTCCATGCAGTTCCAGGGATTAAACTCAGGTTGTCAGGCTCCGCAGCAGATGTCTTTACCCATTGAGCCATCTCGCTAGCCTTAACACTTTCTTTTCTTTTCCTTTCCTTTCTTTTCTTTCTCTTTTTCTTTTTTCTTTTTTGTCTTTTTGAGGCAGGGTCTCCCTATAGCTCCAGCTAGCCTGGAACTTGCTATGTAGACCAGGCTGGCCTCGAACTCACAGAATTCCACCTACCTCTACTTCCTGAGTTGCTGGGACTAAAGGTGTGTGCCACCATGCCCGGCTCCATATCTTCCTTTAATAAAACATTAAACATGTTATTTTTCTGATAATGTAAATATTGTATACTATAACTGGAAATTTGGTAAATGGAAAATAATGACAGTGCCTTAAACAAGGTAGAAACTTTGTGCTTATATAACATCCTCAGGTAGACAGTAGTATATGTTTTACTTAGACTCCTTCTAATGCCCCACTGTGTCATCCCTATAGTGTGGTCTGCAATCTCAAGGTCTAAAAAGATGAGCATTTGGGTCAGCAAGATGGCACAGTGGATAAAAGTGTGACTTGTCGTTCTGACAACTTGAATTAGAACCCTGAATCTCACAATGGAAGGAGAGTAGACTCTTTTTTTAAATTTTTTTTTTTTTTTTAAATTTTACATGTATGAGTGTTATGCCTGCATGTAAGTAAATGTACCCATGTCATGCAATGCCCGTAGAGGACAGAAGAGGCTGTCAGATCCCTTGGAACTGGAGTTACAGACTGTTGTTAGCTGCCATGTGGGTGCTGGGATTCAAAGCTGGGTCTTCTGCAAGAACAGCCAGTGTTCTTAACCGCTGAGCCATCTCTCCAGCCCGAGAGTAGACTTTTAAGGGTTGTCCTCTGACCTACACACTCTATGGTAGATGTGTGCCCATACTCATGTATACACAGCATCTCACATCATACATACATGTAATAATAATAAAATAAATTTTGTTAAAGGCAAGTATGGGCTGGAAAGATGGCTCAACAGTTAAAAGTACCTACTGCTCTTGTAGAAGACCCAACTTAGATTCCTAACACCTATGTCAAACAGTAATATACACATGAGGTGGCTCACAACTGCCTATAACTCCAGCTTAAGCGATCTGATGCCTCTGTTCTCTGCAGACACCTGCACTCATGTTTACATACCCACCCCCTCAACACATACATAATTTAAAATAAATAAAATTTCTTTTAAAAGGTGAGCACTTGGGCTGGAGAGATGGCTCAGTGGTAAGAGCACTGGCTATTCTTGCAGAGGACCTGGTTCACATAGTGGCTAACAATCATCTCTTAACTCTCGTTCCAGGGAATGTGACACCCTCTTCTGGCTTCTGCAGGCATTGCATGACACAAGCGCACTTATATACATAGGCACAATACTCATACACAAAGTTAAAAAAAAATTAAAAGTACTTAGACTGAGGAAATATGGTAGTTGGGTAAGAGCAGTATTTTGGCAGAGGGTGTCATGGTAGAGAAATCCAAGAAGGTAGCTTGTAGCCAGGTCATCTAGGACTTTTATGCCACAATAGAGTTTTATTGTAGTTTTTGAGATAGTGTCTCACTCTGTAGTGTAGTCTGGGCTTGAACTCATGGAAATCCTCCTATCTCAGCCTCTATAAAGTATTGGGATTATAGGTATGAGCCACCATGCCCAGCTAAGAATTTAGCTATAATGTTAGTTTCTGAGTTAGTTTTTCTTTTTCCCTTTTATTTTTATTTTTTATTTATTTAATTAATTTATTTTGAGCAAGGTGTCACACTATGTAGCTGAGATGATCTTTGAACTTCAGATCCCCTTGCTTCCACCTCACCTCTAGTTCATGAGTTTATATAAGTGTATGTGCCACCATGTCTTGGTTATGTGGTGCTGGGGATTGAATCCAGTGCCTCGTGCATTATAGGCAAGCACTCTACCAGTTGAGCTACATTCCCATCTTGAGGTAGGTATTCTATTTTGTGTGTGCATGTATGAGTGTTTTGCCTGTATGTATGTAAATGTACCATGTGCATGTAATGTCTGTGGAGGCCAGAAGAGGGAGATGGATCTCCTGAAATTGAAGTTATGGACAGTTGTTAGCTATCATGTGGGTTTGGTTCCCAGAATCCATGTTGGGTGGCTCACAACCACCTACACTTCTAGCTCAAGGGGAGAGCCAATGCCTCTGGCCTCTACAGGCTCCTGCACCCATGTACCCATAACCCACATGCAGATATATACACACACATAATTAAAAGTAATAAAAATAAAACTTTAAAAGAAATGAAAAGAAAGAAAAAGAATAACTGTTTTGAGATCTACATGAGATCAAGTCCTGAGAGTTCTTTTATAGAAGAGACTGTACTTGTCTTGGAATTTCATAAAAAAGAGTAAAATGCTGTTTTATGTACTATAACCAGGAACTGAAACCATCCTAGATGCCCATCAACAGATCATAGATAAAATGTAGTGTGTATGTATATATACACACTATTCAATATTCAATAGAATATTAAAAAGAAAAATAAAAAGGAAGAAAGAAAAATATAAATAAAAGCTAGACTTGAAAGCAGGCTTCTGGTTCTGTTCTCCCACACAAACATAAAAGTGGCATAATCAAGTGGACTTGGGACCCTCTGCCAATAAATGACAAGTAAAGCTAGCACTGAGATTGGTCAGGGAGGGAGAAGAAAAGTGCAAACCTTGGAAACATTTTTTCACTGGCTGAGGAATTATGGCAAATAAGTTAAGTTCAAACAGACCCCAGAGGGCAGAGTACTCCGGAAACCAATGGAGCAGGTGGAAACCTTGGACAGGAACAAGTGATCAATATGTATAGATGGGAGAAAGCATCATTGTCCAGAAGATTCTGTGATGATGAAATTGTCTATGGCAGTGTTGTCTGATACAGTCGCCCCTGACATGTGGTTACCAAGCACTTGAACTGAATTTTTTATTTCATCCCATTTTAATCAGTAGCCACAAGATAACTACTGTGTTGGACAGTGTAGTTTGGTATAAAGGTTGGGCTGAGTGAAGACTGAGAAAAAGTTGTTGATTTGGCAATAGGAGGTCATTAATGACCTTAAAATTAAAAAGCAAAAAATTTTTATTTTAATTTATGCATATGAGTGTATTGCCTGCATGTATGTAAGTGCACCTGTGTCATGCAGTGCTCAAAGAGGTCAGAAGAGGGCATTGGATCCCCTGGAACTGGAATTACAGATGGTTGTTAGCCTGTCCATACTTATATTTCGCATAGTTATAGTCTCCCTTAACCTCTGGAGAATAAAGCACATGCCCCAGGTTTGTGGGGCATCTTTGCTCTTTGGCATCTCTAACATGGCATTGACACCTACTGCCCATACTAGGTAGTACAGGATTCCCTCATCCCTGTTCAATTTGGCATGCAGTGGGAACATCTAAGCTGAACCTTATCACATGGGGTGCTATTGAGACAGGTTTCCAGGCTGGCCTTGAACTCGTGATAATCCTCCTACCTCAGCCTCTTGAGTGCTAGGATTATAGGCATGAGTCACCATACCTGGCTGAATCTCTTTCTTTTATATTCATTTTCAAGATAGACATTTGGAGAATAAAACATTTTTAGCATCAAAATGTTAGGACCAGAATCAAGGTCTGTCTTGCTAGCCTTGAGTCCTTGAGTAGGTAGGACATTTTTTTTGTAACCTATTGCTCATTTTTCTCCCCTACCCCTACCCCCTGTGATTTCCAGGTTTTTAAGCCTATGGCTGAAGCTGCTGTAAAGATAGTGGAGAAAAATGGATTCAGTGATAAGATTAAAGTTATCAACAAGCATTCCACTGAGGTGACGATTGGACCAGGTGAGAGATATACATCCTGTGTGGGAAGTGTTAGTTGTTCTTGTTTGAGAGTAGAAAAGGTTTTTTTCCTGCTGCTCAGAGTAAATCTAGGTCCTGGATATGATGGCTTTGATTGTAGGCACTTTTGCTTTTCTTGATAATTACTTCTCCGTTAGTTAAAACAAGTCAGGTGTATATATAAAGCAGAGCTAGTCTAGTATAACAACAGTCACCCAAAGGAAACCTTTTGCTTTAAGCATGTTGAGATTTTTGAGTAGCCCAACTTTGGTGAAACCTCAGGTAGCAAGAAGAGTCTTTACAGTCAGGAGTTTGAAATTTCCTTTTTTTAAAAACTTTCAAAATTATTTTTATTTTATACGTATGTGTGTATTGCCTGCATGTAGGTAAGTGTACCCATGTTTTGCAGTACCCACAGACAGAAGAGGCTGTCGGATCCCCTGAAACTGGAGTTACGGACAGTTGTTAGCTGCCATGTGGGTGCTGGGATTCAAACCTAAGTCTTCTCCAAGAACAGACAGCGTTTTTAACTGCTGAGCCATCTCTCTAGCCCAGGGGTTGGAAATTTCTAAACTTTCAAATGCCTTTGATACTTGGAGAACACAGCTAAAAGGGGCGAGGTATGGGGTAGGCAGAAGGCTGTGATTGTTTATAGACATCACCAGTTTAGGTTTTTTTTGTTTGTTTGTTTTTTTTTTGGTCTTTTTGAGACAGGGTCTCCCTGTAGCCCTGACTGACCTGGAACTTGCTATGTAGACCAGGCTGGCCTCTAACTCACAGAGATCCGCCTGCCTCTGCCTCCCAAGTGCTGGTATTAAAGGCGTGTGCCACCACGCCTGGCAATATCACCAGTTTTAAAGGCGGTACTTTAGAATTGAAGCATCTACTTAAGGTCAATATTTTATTTTAAATTTTATTTTACTTTTATTATTATTGTTTTATGAGACAGGGTCTAATACAGCCCAGGCTGACCTTGAACTCACTCTGTAGCTGAGATTGGCCTTGCTCCTCCTGCCTGTACCTCTTAAATGCTAGAATGGCAGGCCTGTGTATCACCACATATGCCTTTTTTTTCTCCCATTTAAAAATTACTTGGGGAATAGTGCTTGCCTAGAATGCTCCAGACCCTGGGTTTGATCCCTAGCACCCTAAAATAATAATAATTTAAGCTACATAATTCTAAGTACTTGGGAAGCTAAGGTAGAAGGTCCTGGGTTTCAGGCCAGCCTGGACTATATAGCAAGAGCCTGTCTAAAAAACTGTGTGTGTGTGTGTGTGTGTGTGTGTGTGTGTGTGTGTGTGTGTAGAGCTCAGGCTGGCCTCAAACAATGGCTACATGTGCTACCACACTTGGCCCATTATATCAGTTTTAATTGACATTAATAAATATATTCAATTTATGAATATAGTTTAGTGCATGTCTCTAATCCCAGCACTCAGGAGGCTTGTAAATTTGAGGCCAATCTGGTCTATATAGCTAGACCCTATCTCAAAAACAAACAAGACTAACAATATACATGCAGGCAAAACACTTGTACACATAAAATAAAAATAAATAAATTTAAAAGAAAACAAAATATGAATATACAATAGTTTGATGATGAATTTTGACAAATAGAGGTACTTTTTTTTTTTGGTCCTTTTGAGACTGGGGCTACTGTCCTGGAACTCACTATGTAGACCAGGCTGGCCTTGAACTCACAGAGATCCGCCTGCCTCTGCCTCCCAAGTGCTGGGATTAAAGGCCTGTGCCACCATGCCCGGCCTGGAGGCACATTTGTAACTACTGCCATAATCAAGATAGTAGATTGTCTCTGTCATGCTCAAAAGATTCTTCATGACCCCAATGCAATCAAGCCCCACATGGCCCTGACCTAGGCACTCACTGATAGGCTTTCTTTCACGTAAATTAAAAATTCTAGCACGCCTTTAATTCCAGCACTTGGGAGACAGAGGCAGGCAAATTTCAGGCCAGTCTGGTCTACATAACAAGTTCCAGGCCAGCTGGGGCTACAGGGAGACCCTACTTCAAAAAGACCAAAAAAAAAAAAAAAAAAATTTTTAGAATTTCAAGGAAATAAAATTTTAAGTGGTCAGGGTATACTTTCTGTGTCTGCCTTTTGTTTTTAAGATCTGGAGATCAAACTTGGGGTCTTATGCCCACCCCTGTTACATTAGCTTAATGACTTTTAAATAATTAACTTATTTTTTAGATTTAAATGTGTGTGTGTGTGTGTGTGTGTGTGTGTGTGTGCGCGTGTGCGTGCGTGCAGGTGTCTGATGAGGCTGAAAGAGGGCATTGGCTCTCCTACTTACAGGCAGTTGTAAACTACCCAATTTGATTGCTAAGAACTGAACTCCAGTCCTCTGCAAACACATCAAGTACTCTTAACCATTGAGCCATCTTTCCAGCCCTTAATTAACTAATTTTAATATAATTGTTATTATGTGCAGTTTGTGACCCTCATTAGTTAAAGTCAGGTTGATGAAATAACAAAGTAACATTTTAAAGCCTATTCCTCTTTAAATTTTCTAAAAAATTTATTATTATTTTTTATTTTCTGTGTTTGAGTGTTTTGCCTGCATGTATGTAAGTGCACCAACCTGTATGCCATACCTACATAGGCCAGAAGAGTGTGTCAGATCCCCTAGAACTGTAGTTATGGACAGTTATTAGATGCCTTATGGGCGCTAGAAATTGAACCCCACTCCTCTGAAAGAATAGCAGATGTTCTTAACTACTGAGGCATTTCTCCAACCCCCATTCTTCTTTTTTAAAAAAATATAATTTAAGCTGGGCGTAGTGGCGCACGCCTTTAATCCCAGCACTCAGGAGGCAGAGGCAGATGAATCTCTGTGAGTTCAAGGCCAGCCTGGTGTACATAGCGAGTTCCAGGTCAGCTGGGGCTACAGGGAGACCCTGTCTCAAAAAGACCAAATATATATATAATTATATTTAAATAAAAGAAAATTTTTTTCTTATATATGTGTATGTGTATGCTTATATGAGTTTATATGTACCACATGCATGTAAGTGCCTGTGAAAGCCAGAGGGTGTCTGATCCCCTGGAATTGAAGTTATAGGCTATTGTGAGCAACCTAGTGCAGGTCCTAGGACCTGATCCTGAGTTCTCTGCCCAATGTGAGACCTATTGTGTGCCTTCGAGCGTCTTCTCGTGTTCTCTCCCCCCACCTCTTCTCTCTCTCTCTCTCTCTCTCTCTCTCTCTCTCTCTCTCTCTCTCTCTCTCTCTCTCTCTTTTTTTATGGTCTTTTTGAGACAGGGTCTCCCTGTAACCACAGCATGTCTCTCTGATCCTCCCTCCATTCTTCTCTCCCTCCTTTTCGACAGGGTTTTACTATGTAGCCCAGGCTAGCCTGGAACTCCTAGTCCTCCTGCCTCAGCCACCCGAGTGCTAGAATTACAGATATGTACCATCATGCCAGATCGTACATTTCTTTCAGTTTGTCTTGACAGCATGGAGATTGACCTGTAAGGAAGCCTTTCCATGGAGCACTGTCTCTGTGACTGCTCTTTACTCTCTTTTAGGCCGTGTTGTTCACATAGACCCAAGAACAGGCCAGGCTCTTGTATGCTTCCCTTATACTTCCTTGTGGAACACTTACCACTGCAGTAACTAAATAATTAAGTAGTTGTGTACCTAGTTGTGTGTCTGATGTCTGAGTTCCCACACAACAGACATGAGGTACTGAACTATGTAGTTTTTATTAATGATTCCATTATCTACACAGGGACTGGGACATAAAGGGATTCATGGGTATTTGTTTAATGAACAAATTGTCAACCTACTTGGTCTATAATGCCTTGTAAATGGAACTTTGATTTCTAGTCCCCCATCTTTCTGTTTGTTTGTTTTTTTGTGACGGTCTCCCTGAAGCCCCAGCTGGCCTCAAACTTGCTTTGTAGACCAGGCTGGCCTGTATCTCTCAGAGATCTGCCTGCCTCTGACTTCTGAGCACTTTTGTTTTTTGTTTTGTTGAGAGAATCTCACTGTGTAGCCCAGGCTAGCCTCAAACTCAGTCTTTGCTTCTGCCTCCTGAAGTGATTACAGGTGTGCCCTGCTATACCCTGACATAAGTGGTCTCCTCATTGCCAAGTTAGATGCCTTCCTCTGCTTTCCCTCTCAGTGTTGGTGCTTCTGCCATTCCATCCTTCCTGACACTCTTCCCAGGCCCCAATTAATGTCTCCTCATTTTGCTTATCCTAGCGTACTTTTTTGTTTTTATTTATTTATTTATTTATTTATATTTATTTATTTATTGTTTGTTTATTTATTTATTTATTTATTTATTTATTTTTGT